AACAATATTCTTGACTCTTGTGCAATATTCATTTATTTTTTCAAATTCTATCATCTTCAAGACTTGAAACTCTCTTCTAAGAGTTTGAAGATTTGTAGTATGTACCTTTTCATCGTCATAAGCTTCGATTTCCAAAGAATCCCCCAAGTTTGTTTTGCAGTATCGCACGACACAATTTTTTCAAATATATATGCTCTTGAGGATCCCAGTTGAATTTCACTCAAGCATTTTACATCTTGACGATACTTAGACTCAAGATTTCCCATCACTATTTCTGTAAGTTCATATTATTGTCCGGCTCTTCAAAAACATTTGCAACATAGTCCAAAAACCTTCATCTTTCAGATGTTTTCTCATTCTTATCTTCTAGTATTTAAAATAAGATCCATCAAAAAATGGAATAAGAATAACTGAAGAATAAGAACCTTCATTTGTTTTGGATGTCATATATTTTATTCACCTAACCACAGATTAAGAACGAAAACCTGCTCTTGATACCAATTTGTAGGAAATAAAAAAGGAGAATACTATCTTTAGAGAATACTCCTGTTTTATATAGGCTACTTAAGGTTGCTTCAAATGATTACAATCATCAACTACATCACATTTATACTACTCAAAATAGAAAATAAAAAGTCTTGCACAATTAAGTAGATACATTATCACAAATTACTAGATAAATGTATTAAAATATTTTAAAAGACTTTTTAAGAAATTAAGAGAGTATATTGAAATAATAAACATCAAGGGGTAAATGCATTAATTCCAACATATATGAGGGTCCCCACCATTCTATGATCAGTAATGTTGAGATGGAGGATCCAATTTTTCGATAGAGCATCATTAGATGGATTTCTAGGCTGATTACACCTGATGTTGATGTAGAATCATGGGTAGCCAACCTACAAGTGCATATCCCCAAGGCATCTTTGACATTTCCAGCTAAAGTATGGTAGGCAGTAACCCCTGCACATTTGTGGCCAGTAAGGAATGACAACTCTGTCTCTCCTCGCAAGCTACCTTAATATCTTGCATTATGAATGGTTATGCATTATATGTTGGCCGACGTATTACAATGAAGATGAGAGATCGTGCCTTGAATGAAATACCAAGTTGGCCATTTCCTTTTTATATCAGTTGGAGATTGTGTACATATGCACATATAGTCATGACCCGAGCCTACACACTATACGTCGCTGGCACTTAAGAACCATTGTTACTCCCCAAGCGAACCCTCATCCTGGCTGACTACAAGCAGAAGAATAACTTAGTAACGCAAAAACTTAAAACCGAATAAAATCTATAACTCAAATACAAAGTTTTAACATTAAAGATTTAACTCTAAATAAAATAATATATTAAACTTGCAATAATATAGACAACTTAAGTTTCTAAAACATTTAATAAAATAAATGAATGATACAAACTTCTTAACTAAACTGACTATATATGAAGTCTTTAACTAATAGATATGGAAGTTGGGACAAGACCCACGACGCCCTGACTAAACTGAAAATGAAAGGAAATCCTATGGAAGCAAGGAGGCTCACATAGCTAACGTGAACTCTTGGATTTATTAACAAAGAACCTATTGATGATCTTGAATACCTATTTCTGCAACATGAGACGATGCAGGCCAAATGGCTCAGTTCGTGTAATGTACGACCATGTGAAGAGAATTCTAAAGCATAAAATAAGTTTGAACTTGATAAAAATGGAAATACACTTATCTCATTTCAAACTAACTCAACTTATAAGTACTCACGGATAAGATACTAAACTCAGATATTAGATGTTCAATTCAAAGAATAGATACTCAACTGAAGGATATGATATTCGACCCCGGGTACTCAACACTGGATACTCAACTAATATAAAGCAAGATACGCATGCACAATATATAAAGCTTTATAAAATATTAAAAGAAACTTAGTTCGTTAAAGAAAATGCAATAACAAACTCAACTTTACTCATATAACAAGATAATATTAGTTTCTACGGGAGATTCTCTAATTGAAAACCACCACTATGAGCCTATGTGGTGATACAACGTCTTGCCCACGCTGCTTGAACTGTCCTATACTTTTTCATCATATAGAACGCTTAATTTAGTGGATCCTCTAGCTAAACCATAGCATGTCCCGTCGATGCAAACTACCAGGCAGTGTTGCCTAACCTACAGAGGTCCTCCTCAAGGGCCCTTGGTTGGTCCTTGGGGAGTCGTACCCGGATGTTTCGACCATGAAACGACTTAATCATTTATTGGCTACCCGTTCACCTTTTTTCATAATTTTTTGGCTCCTAAAAGCTAGTCAAATAGGCTTAGGCCCACTAATACCCCTTTGAACCAACTTCCGGACGTCTTGGATGTTTTGGTTCTAAACTTCCTAAATGACCTATGTTCATTAAAATAGGTCTTAAAAAAGTGCTTAGACCCTATGACACCTATGTTAGGCTCTAAGACTCGTCTTGGATTTTCAAAGTGTTATATTATCCCTCCTCCCCTTAGGAAGATTCGTCCCCGAATGACATTAAAACTCTTTTGAAGAAAAGGAATAGATTCATGACATGAATCCCAACTAATAAACAATATCAAATCAAAATAAATCATATCATTTCAACAAGGAAAATTTCAAAACTCCAATTATCACACATAAAGCTCAAAACACTTCATCATGAGGTATTATCCTTCTCACAACACACATGAGCTCAACATACATTACATGAGTCAATTAGCACAAAGTTCAACTTAACAACATGCTACATATCATTTCATAAAGACTTGGCATATAAAAATGCACAATATAACTCAAATAAACCAAAAAGACAAAATTCAAGTTTTAGAGGTACTACTTCAATACTATCACCTGCAAAGCTCGACATCAAACATTAGTATCGATGATGAAGTAAAGAATAAAAGTAAGGGTTACAAAAAAATATATAATAGTAAAAATTAAGAATGACTAAGTTTTGAAAAATTGATTAACCTTATGACTTAAGCAAAAATCGACTTTTCAAATTAACAGAGTCGCCACTTAATTTTTTAGTAAAATCAAGAAAACTTATAATTATTTTTTCAAAAGATTAAAACGGATAAAATCAGGTGAAAAGGGGTTCGAAGTTCAAATGTACATTCTGAGAAGGTGTTAGGTCATTGGAATGTCCGCTAACTCGCGGTTGATCGGCAATCTGACTAAAAATGACTTTGACTTAAACTTTCAAACTTTGACCCAATAAAGTTCATTTTTAAATTATTTTTTTACTTACTATTATTATTTTATAAATAATTTATTTAGGGAAAGAAGGAGATCATTTAAAAAGGGTAGTGACCTAAAAAGGTTGATAAAATAAATCTAAGTAACTCGTACAAAATAAATATTTATATATTTATTATTTATTTATTTTCAATATAAAGAAAATGGCAATCTTGGGAATTCAATTAAATTAAACCATGAAATGAACAAAGTTAGTTAAAATAATACAAAAAAGAGTTAAAAGGAAGAGAGTATTAAATTTCGGCCTTGGTCCCAAATATTTATTGGGAAAATTTTCAAAATTGTCAATATTTTGAAATTTAATAGGACTCATACTTTCAATATTTAGTAAAAATATCAAAAAAAAATTGTTAAAACAGAAAGGAGAAATTAAGGGGAGAGAAAAATATTAAAAAGAAACAATTGTTAAAAGTCTTATCAGTTACAGAAATTCAAAAATAAAGAATTAATTGACAATTCATCAAAATACAACAACTTCCATCTCTTTCTTCTTCTTTCACAATGTTCTAAAAAACACGTCTATCATCATTGTTCTAAAAATTCAATATTCAATTTTCTTAATTTTTTTTTTGTTTCTAAACATGCTTATTTACCATACATTATCATATTTGAAGCAATGTGTTCTACTATGGCATCATTTTAACGTTATGAAATTATAATTTATCTTTATAAACGTCTGAAATTTTATGAAGTTATTTGGCTATCATGTTAAGGTTATGAATTTTACGTTTCTCCATTTAAGAAATTTTTCAATATTCAAAATATAACTCTCATGTATTTATGGTATAGGTATTAATCCATCTTACATATGTATTTTATTTTGCTTACCTCCAATATCACTTTGTATACCAAATAGTTTGTATTTAAATTTGATTTTGTATTCGTCCTAACGTATACCATAAAGTTTGTATTTAGATTTGATTTCGTATTCGTCCTAATGTATACCATATAGTTTTGTATTTATATTTTGATTTCTTATTCATTCTCAACTATAAATAGCCAAAATACAGTTTATTTATGTATTCATTATATGTGTATTCATCCTTATTGCATCAGTCAAATGGTTTTGTATTTTATTTTCCTCATTATATGTTTATACCAACTAGTTTATCTTTGATTTCGTATTCATTCACAACTTTAAATAATCAAAATGCAGGTTTGTACTTAAGATTATCACTTTGTAAAAAAAAATTGACTACAAACTACAGAACATTCAAAATACTCTCAAACACTTTTGCGAAGCAACTCAATACCTAAATGCTAATGTAGATTCTACTAAATTTGAAATATAAAAACAAATAATAAAAAAAGATCGACAAAAATTATTTTAAATACTAAAACTCTGAAATACATAAATATTTGATGAGTATTATAACAAATTCACATATAAAATTTTAAAAAAATGACGGAAAATCCTCAATACATACAATCCAAAAATTCAACATAATGTGTGATTTTGAAACCAAAATCTCGCAAAATAAATGTTGAATTAAATAACTTTATTAATTGAGAGTTTTGATTAATTGATAGATCTGAACAAATTGTTAAGAACTTGAATAATTAGTTCTTCTTCAACAATGAGAGAGAATAATAGTGAAAAGTTGATGAAAGAGACAAAAAAATTGAAAAGTAAAAGATGAAAAATAAATTTGATAGTATTGAAGTATATGAAGAAGGTAAATTGATAATGGATGTAGAATTTAATTCAAAATTGGACTCTTTTGAGAAATAAAATTTCATTACAAATCACTTTCTAAATTATTGATATTTTCAATAATCATTTTAAAATGTAGATATTTTTACTAACTAAGTTATGTATTCCGACTACTTTGCTAATTTTTCTATATTTATACTGTGTCCTAAATCTAAAGTGACCCAAAAATGGATCTTGCCCCATTTTCAACCTATTGGGCTTGTTGGAATTCCCTTTGGACCTGTGGCCCTATTTTTTTTAAAAACGTTGTGTATATGCTTTGTGTATACCACTGTGTACAGGCCCTATTCTGTTCTTTTATTTTGTATATTGGACTGTATTCTCGAAAAACATATCCTAGTTGAGCCCCTCAAGTACCTGTATATTTTTTTTGACCTGTGTATCTTGTATACATTGTATACCAGTGTAAACTGCTGTATATGATCTGTATCCAGCCTGTTTTGGACTTTCCGAAACCTGTATTTTTGTTTGAATTTTATGATTCCACCTTCATCATCCTTAATTCCGCATTTGACCTGCATATCGATATTTCACGAAGTATACCAGTGTATACAACATATATACAACTGGCATACCACCTTTCCCTTGGGTCTTTGAGACTTAGAAAAATGCAGCTCCCAACCTTATATTGCCTTCACTTTGCTTATTATTAATTCCGGCAAACTACTGGTCCTAACAACAAAATGGAGAATTTATGGCTCGACTCGGAATGCGGCAAATAAAGAAGTCTGTGAAGACCCAAAACAGATTCACATAAAAAAAAAAAAGATGAGGATTAGTACTCAAATAAAACATCTTAAACCGCAACTCCAAATGTAAGCAAATTTCATTAATTTTAAAAAAATAAATCAATTAAACATATTCCAAGCAAAGTAAACCCATCAATTTGAAGTTGAATGAATTAGAAAATGGTGGACAAATTATTTTTACAAATAAAGGATCACTTGAGTACTCAAATACAACATTTTAAACCGAAACTCCAAATGAAAGCAATTTTCATCAATTTTAAAAACAATATATATAGTGACCGAGGGAAACCAATTAAACAGATTCCAAGCAAAGTAAACCCATCAATTTGAAGTTGAATGGATTATCAAATGGTGGACAAAATATTTTTACAAATAAAGGGTCACTTGATTAGCAAATGGACATGTTGGATTAAATATGATGCCTCTGTATGGCAATTTGACAGTAAAAGGCAAACAAGAGTAAAAGAAAAAATAGAAACAGAAACTAGTGATGTATACTACCTTATGAATTTAAATAGACAAAATCAAAACGATGAATAAATGTTGTCACAATATTGTAGATAGCAAACAAGGTAATCAATATGTAAGCATGATAGAAAGAACTTGAAATAAAACGAAGTCATGAACTTAGACAAAACAAAATTTTATAGGAGGCTCTTAGAGAAAAAGGAAGAGGACAAGATACACAAGCTGCTATTCACTAAAACATGCCAATTCTCACAATCTACTAGAACTAGTTAATGGTAGGCATGTGACTCATGGAAATCTCATATGGTAAAGAAAAACACACTCAACCAATACCAAATAATAGATATGCTAAATAAGAAAACGAACCCGCTCATGGTATCCTTCGAACCGGCCATAACCTGGAGGGGTGACAGAAATCACTTAAGGCATGACAAGCTAACCTAAATAATCTAGTGACAAATATAAAAGAAACAGCACTTGGAAAATCTTGGGAAAAAGAAGAGACTGCCATAATGTTTCCTAAGAAAAATCAAAGATAGACATGTTGAAGAATAAAACAAAGTGAACAACATCTTGACGATTAACAAGCGAATAACATGAACTTTAAAGCAAGCATGACAGCCATGAGTTTAGGAAGAACACAGTCAGCAATATAAACTCGAACGAATATCAAACTATCTTGAATACGAAAATAAACAACCAATAAATTATCGAGCAAGCTCCACTACTAGTTGAAACCAACAACGAGTTGAAGCAAACATTCGAGATTTTCGCACTTCTATATCTCTAAGCAGTCCAAGATCAAATAGTCATCACATCACAATAAAAGAGAGCTAAATCAAAATGAGTTTCACCTTTGCGAGGGCAGACAAACTGACACAAAAGACGAGCTTGGAGACGATTCTTCCACAACACGAGTTCGAATCTCAAGCGGCTGACCACGAATAAAGAAAATGTATAAAATTTCTTTAGATTAAGTGTGACTGTTCCAAAGAAATCCCACATTTTTCTTGACTCTAAATTTTCCAGATTTCTTCCTCTATTTTTTCTAACCTCTATCACTATCCTCTCGCTATAACAAATAAGAATAGGGGGCTATTTATAGGAGAAGAACTAGGTTAAAATTTGAGGGGTGAAACGGGAGGGACCTTGGGGTGAATTCAAAAGTTGAAATTTGAATTCCCCTCTAGCAGACAAGGCTATTAATGGAATGGTACGATTCTTGTGCCATTGTTTAACGAAAAAAGTGTTATAACTGTCCGATTACGCGCAAGGACGAGGGAGCAAAGAGATGGGGACACATGGACAATTCTTGAATGGTTCTTGTACGGAGATGAACACGTTGAGAGGAGAGGACGACTCGACTTATGTTGAATCGATTTGTGGCTGGGTTGGACGAGTTTTTGGATTGTTGGACTGAGTTTCGTTTAATTTTTTTGGGGAGTGAAGAAGAAAAAGAAACACACATGAGTTGGGTCGGATCATATGGGAGAATTGGGCTGGGAGTTGAGTTATTTGAGCGGGCTGGGAATGGTTTCTTTTTTGGCAAAAAAAAAGAAGAGAAAATTGTATAAAATAGCAAATTAATAACCTAAATTAAATGAAATAGCTAGAGTTTGATTTAATTGTGCTCCATAGCAAACGTTGGCAAAAATTTGTCAGGCCTCTCTCTCCCAGAAGTCTCGCTCGCTACTCTCCCATTCTCGCCTCTCTCGCTCTATACATAGAAGTGTATAATTTCTGTTTCTGTTTTGGATTAATTACCTGAATATACAACTTAAGTTTACATATTCTCCATATTTCCCTTATTTTTTTAAAAAATACTAAAATCCCTATTTTTTAATAAGTCTAATTTAACAGATACATTATTAAATTAGAATCCTAATAAATAC